ACTTGCTGAGCATGCATTCCATCACCTCCCCCGGGTCGGAGCTTCATCCCATTTGTTTCTTCCAGCTGTTAAAGAAAAGGACACCATTTTCTTCACAGTGGAAAAGGTGCAGTTGGCATTGTCCTCCCAGTATTTGTCCCAGGTGTTTGCCCCAGAGATCAGTTCTTCAGGCTTGTTGTTGAACTAATTGAACTTATACTGGATATTTGTGTTACCTCTTTTGGTCTCCTGAGGCAACAGAACTACATGGCTACGACTGGTATACAAATCCAAGCTTCTTTTTTATGGATTCTTTAACCTGGACTCCTGTTAAGCCTTTTTTCCATACCTTATTTGCCCATCCATCATTTAAAACTACTGTCCTGATTTTTTTATATTCTCATGACTCAGAAATTGCAAGTCACTCACTATTAGATGATGATTAGTAATTTTGAAAATTAGACCATTTGGTGGTCGAGTTAAAAATAAAAATATACCAGTTGAATCAAAAGGCAAGAACAGAACCTGGTATTTGAAATTGTAAAGTACTGGGTTGTTTTGGAAACTTCCCACACAGACAGTGCCAACAAGCACAACAACTTTGTGCACCAAACATCTCAGGCAAATATAGTATATATCTATAAAAGAAGGATCAGAAACTCCAAGCAATTAAAGTTCCTACTGATGACTAAAAAGATTTGTGTGCTGCAGTGCTGGTGGAGGGAGGAAGAGGATAGCAGGAGGTCAGAAAATATTTTTACATATAATTGGAGGTTAAAAGTACATCAGCCCCAAAGGTTCCAGGGATGTTTTTCCCGGGCATATTGGCCAAAAGTGTCTCTTCTGTCTTCTGGCAGATGGCCAAGCTGGAGGACTAAGAGCCTGTTCCCACAACTGCAGTTCCCTCAGCTCAAACAGCAGAACCACGTGTGTTGGTCCATTCAGCGTTTCCCTAATTTCTCTGCTTGACCACTTGTAACTAACTGTGAGCAATTAGCTTTCCCAGATTTCTTTCAAGTAAAACCTACAAGCTGTTTAGCCCCTCCTCTGCCTTTTAGCAGCACAACAATCCCATAAAATGCAGGGCAAGCCCTGTGTGCACACATTGTGACCTGCACAGCGTTGTCACTGGGGCTGGGGGAGGAGCAGTGGCTTTGGGGATCTGACCAGGGCCATCCCCTGTGACTGCACTCACTGCCATCACTACCAGTTCCCAGACTGCACTGAAAAGATTCAGAACTCAACCGCTGCACTCTTTGATACCAATGTGAATTACAGTAACCCCAGCAGAGTACTATCAAAACTTAAAAATACATGTGAAGCAATAATCTGTATCATTCACCTCTCATCAAGGTACTCCCAAGCATCAAGGCTTCCAAGTTTTATACCTGTACTTAAATGTAAGCACAGTAAGGAACCCTACTGAAATCAGTGGAACATTAAGCACAGACAGAAATCTTTTCTGTAATAGTTTTCTTAATGTAATTCCTAATCCCTGCTGTCTACACACTTTTTCTTTTTCCATACCTATTAATGACATTTTTTCACGCTGGCAAATGCCCTGTGACATTACACAGCAGTCATTATTTTGGAAGCTGGTGTCACAGAACAGCCAATCCTCCTCAAGAGCCCTTTCTCAGGTTATAAAGGAGCCATTTCAGACAGAAGCCTCACTTCTCTAAGGTTATAATTAAATACAAATTCAGGCAAGTAAGAGTTATAAAGTAGACAAACAACACTGCCAAGCCACCAGTTCCCTGAGCTCAAAGCTGCAACTCAGGGACCTTCAAGACAGTGCTAATCTTACCAATTCACGTCTGAACTGCAAAATCTCATCAAAACCAGTGTATACTGTAGGTTATGTACTTCTGTCTTATTATACAGCTCATCTAAGTTCCTGTTATACTGCAATCCCTAGATGTACAAGCAGTTTCATATGTGACTGGCTGTAAACACATCGAGCCAATCAGGGAAATAAAGATGTGCCACTTAAAAAGAGCATCCAGATTTAATTACAGAGCACGTGGGAACAAAATGGTTAAAAACTTGGGCAATTTATGTCATTAGTGAGTTAGTGTAAAACAGCCTCATGTAACTTAGGGCAGAAATCACTGATATAATTTGAAATCAAGTTACCTGCTCTGCCAGGTGACACACGGGCACAGGTCACCTGGGAGCTCCTGCAGGTACCTCCCGAAGGTGCCCTGGAGTGCTCTGGAGCAGGAGCTGGTTCATCTGCTGCCACCACCCTCTCCACAGTCAGGGCATTTCCTGAGCCTCCTGCACAGCTGGGCAGTCCCTCTGAACACACTGCACAGGCAGGGAGGAGGAGTCCTGAACAGACTTATTTCTCCTTATGTTAATCACTGAAAAATTGGTTTCAGCCAACTGTCCTAATTCAAACACCCACATTCACCTCTGCAGCAGAACAGACTCGAATGCAGTGAGTGGAGATAAATGTGTTGTTACAGGGGGGTGATGTCAGGCAAAGCTGAGTGAATTATTTCAGCTGTCTCTCTAGTAGTGAAGTGCCTTGAGACTGCAGCCTGCAAGGGGGATGCTGAGGACACAGATTCCCCCTGACAAGCTATAGCTGGACAGGGGGCTTTCCTCCACAGAACTGACAGTCAACCAATTTCTTGTTTCCCATTTCCTTATTCGTTACTTGGTACAAAAAAAGGTTAAAAGGAACTGTTGTTTCCATATTTTGGTTTAAGTATTAACATCTAAGATGATACTGGTACTGATTTTGTAACTTGCTATGCTTTTCCCCTTTTAACTATTAAGAATATTCTTCTTGGCAGGAAAACTATGTAGCAAACAGACATTACCATTAGGAAAACACTTGCCCTTAACCTTTGTATTGTCACAGCCTTCAGCTTGTGGTTGTAAAAGAAAGAAGTGATATCCAAATGGAGTTTGGCATTTATTTTACGTAGTCCACATATGGAGCAAAATGGAAAATACATTAAGAAATAAATATAGATTACTAAATTTTATCACTAGCATACTGAAACTAAGTGTCTATTTATCTGAACAGAATCCACACATTTATATAAAGGGATTGGATATCTCAGCTTGTGACTTCCCACATATTTAATTATGACAGCTTGAAGTTCATCACTACTTTTGCCAGAATTTAGGCAGAATTACTCCAAAATGCCTGGTAAAAGGATTAACATGAACATTCAACCTAGGTTATACTTCTGAGCCATACTATAAAAATTAAAGAATGAAAGGAGCTACCCATTTAATCCAGTCATAGTCAGTGTGACTTACTCCAAACCCCTCTAGGTTGTTTTTCCTTGCACTTCAAAATAAATTTTGAATTGTCAAAACTGTGCACTGTCGCAGTTCAGTGTTTACAGCACTAGGACTGGGACTGACTCACTTGCTCAGTGTGGAAAAAAAAGTTCAACAATTGCAGTTCCCTCCTCCCAGTAAAATGCCCAATTCATCCCAATCAGGTGCTTTACATTTGGGAAAGCAATCATTCTTCTTCCCTGTGAGGGGAGAAGGTGTACTCAGAATCCTCCTGATCCAGCACTGAGGCCCAGGATGTTTCAGGCTCATATTTTCAAAACCTTCTGTACCTTTTGTGTGTACATTTGTCACATCCCCAAGGCAGTGACACATTGTCAGAGACACTGATGTCACCTAATCTGACTCTGGAAATAGTTACTGAAATAAAGAGAGGAAAAAAACCAGCACTGAAATGGCACAGAGATTTCAAGAAGAACTGCAAATATTTATGATCCAGATAAACAAATCCTGATGGTAAAGAAAGAATCAACTACTGTTTCTCATGCTGGCAATATATATTTATTGTCATTTTGGAGATAAATTACCATGTGTATAACAGGACTTGAGACTAAAAACAAATTGGGATTATGAATGCTTAGCATATGCCAGTTGAAATTAAATGACTGAACATAAAGCTGACCTTTACAAGACCTTCAGTTGGTCTATTTTTGTGTGTGTCTCCCCTCAACCCCCTTCTTTTTTTTTTCACATTAAATCTGAACATCTTTCCTTCCTCCTTTATTTAAGCCTCAGAAAAATAAATGATCATCCAACTGCACCTTTTATTGGCTTTCCTAATAACCTGCTGCCAATAGAAGAACATTTATATTGTTCATTCTACCATTTCAGAAGGAAGCAAACCTTTACAAACATGTTCTTCCTCCAATTTACCTGGCTATTGAGTCCAGCTTTAAAGACAAAACTTAAGCAGACTAAAGACTTATATTAGACTATTGTGGTTACATTATTATGCTGCAAACCTTCAACACAAGCACTTTGCTGTTCCAGAACAAGCTGCATCAGTGCAAGGTCTGACAGTCTGTGCAAAAGAAGCCGCAGTGCTACAAATTCTTAAACACCTTTCCTCTCCATCTCACTGTATCAACTAACAAATTCCTCCCATCAGTTTAACCAATCCCAAATACTGCCCCCCAAAAAGAGAAAGATGAAGACATTTTATGATTTTGTAAGAAAAACAAACAACCACCCAGTCAAAAAAAAAAAAAAAAAAAGGAATCCTCCAACTCCAGTCCCCCATCCAAAAAAACCCCCAGGTCAAAACTATTCCCCACCCTCCCCACCCCCTTCTAGCTTTTACAAGTCACCATTTAAACAAATGCATACAACTTACTGTACAAATACCCAGTCAAAAAAAAAAAAAAAAAAGGAATCCTCCAACTCCAGTCCCCCATCCAAAAAAACCCCCAGGTCAAAACTATTCCCCACCCTCCCCACCCCCTTCTAGCTTTTACAAGTCACCATTTAAACAAATGCATACAACTTACTGTACAAATACAAAGCTGCAGGCATTCAAGTTACAGAACATTCTGAAAATATTTCAAGCATAAAAAGTACACTTGATAATTGCAAAAATAAGGTTTCACTTTTTTAAAAAACATTTTGATCAGAGCTCAAGCAAAACAAGTTTTTAACTATTCCTACTTCAGCTCAACTCCCTAAGAACACCACCTGCAGAAGTTAAAAACAAAAAACTCGAATTTTTGATAATAAAGTAACCGACCATGTCTTTTAATGAGGAGAAATGGTATATACAACAATGACACAGACCTTAAGCATCAACAACATAGTTCAGCCAAAAGTAAGTCAGCAAGTGAAGTGATTCTTAGCATCACATGGCACTGATTACTAAGAACCTCAATCTGCCTGGAACAGATACTAAGTTAGACTGGTACAAATGGAAGGAAAGATGCATGACATCAAATAGGCTCAGTTTTTGTCACTGAACTTTTTTTAGGCTAACAGTTTCACTAGTGCAAGACCATTTGTTTACCCGATTAAATGAAAGCTCATAAATGTCACAATTTAAGAACACTCATACAAAACTATTTTTTCTTTTAAAAAAGTGCCACATAGCATACTTTTACTAAAAAAGTTACAAACTAATGGAAGACTGTCTGCCTCCATCTCTTGTCAATGAGGAAAGGCCAAAGTGATTCTTTGATCCCAGCTCGAAATGGTGTTCTCTGGCCTATCCCCAGCATCTCCAACTTGGAGCAGTCCAGCTGAGCATTCCTCGGGCGAAGAGCACCCACCACTGGACTGTCAGTAATCTAAAACAGGAACAGGAGACACAAAAACAACACACCAACAAGGAATCAGAAGTAACAGAAAAATACTCAGACACATACATTAAAATTTTCCTTCATAGCTTCCTATGTAGGAATGTTCCTGTCCTCCCTTCTAACTATTTTCTGTCGTTTTTTTTTGTTTGGGATTTTTTTATTTGTTTGCTTGATTTCTGGTTAACTTCATTTCAACAGATGTCAGGCAGGGCGGTGTGAAGTTAAATTTTTCTCACTCAGTTACTGCTGCTATTTGTGCTTTTCTACCTTTTATTCCTATTTTCACCCTATGATTATAATCACAAGGTAAGAAATGCTCCAGAATGTTCACAGAACCATGTCTTGACCAATATACCTGAAGAGTAGATTTGGGCAGAAAAAATTCAGACTCAGTGTTCTCCACTGTTTTTCTTGCCATCTTCCAAGCCACATTTCAGTTCCAGTGTTTACCAATTCCAAATCCTTGGAATTTATTTTGTATATAAATAACATCTTGTTTAAATGTTTTATTCTCACCACATTATCATTATGTCTTTAGTCTTACTTTCAAGTGTCAATAAAACTGCAAGACAGGCATTTTAAGCAAAGCAAAAATCCTTTGAAGTTCTTAAGTGCATGTATTCAGAAATAAATCTGGACATTGCAGAGTTTTTACAGATTCCTACCTGCAAGTTAATGTTCTGTCAATCTGTGAGCTTTTTTTAAGGTCAAAGATACAACAAAGATATGGATTTACTCGTGACTCAGGGGAACTGTTCTGCAGAAATACCATTACATTGCAGATTGTGAAACTGGTGACTGACTGGGTAATTTTCCTAATTCAGCAGGTCAAGGCAGCTGTTGTTTTCCTGAGCTGGATTCCAGACAGCCCCCTCAGCAACACAGCTGCTGTGCCAGACAGGCACAACCCTCCTGAAGAGGAAGCTCACTGGCACAGCCAGTGTGAGACCAACTCCTTGGAATGACCAAGCAGATCCACCTTTCTACAGGTCGAACAACACATCACTTACTGGTCTCAAGTGGCTGCTGGGGAGGTTGAAAGCATCTGCAATTGCACAGGCCATCTCATACTTAGTCATCTGCTCATTGCCAGACCAGTGAAATGTTCCTTTTACTGATGGGTCCTAGAGAAAGAACAGGAAGCACAGATGAAAAGCAGCAGCCAGCTGGCCCTCAGACTAATCCCTGGGCAAGAGCTGTGCAGAATAATCACCCAGCAAGACCCCATCCTGAAAGGCACCTCACTGGTGTTCTGGGAACTCGGTACCTTTCCAGAGAACACACATCTGGGGATTGAGACTGGAAACTGGTGTTACATGGATCTGACCTGACTGTTCACAAACAGCCTGTGTTCTGGAGAATGAGCAGGAGGGAAAGGAGCAGCCCAGCTCCACCCTCCAACCAAGGTCAAAGAGCTGGGGAGGAGCAACTCAGCTGTTCTGTGCTATTTGCTTACTTGAAAACAAAGGCAAAAGGCACCACACACATTCTGAATGTCAAACTGCAAATCCTGCAGGAGTCCAATTAAACTGCACCATATCTACCTTATGTGCATGGTCCATGTTTTCTTTGTTACATGTATGAAAAAATAAAGGTGGTTGATTGTTGTTTCATTCTGTTACCTTGCAAAGATGGTAATCTGAAGGTGCTGTGGTGAACAAACAATAAAGTATTTCAGTTCAGTGGCTTTGTTTCGCCACTTTAGTGTTCTTAACACAATAATCAAGGGCATCTTTGAGAATTACATTCAGCCACCATAGGGGTTTTTCAGTCCAAAATACCAATTTGTAAAAGGTACATCAGAATAAGTTAGGCATTTCCATTTCTCTCCTCTGTACTAGAAGACACAGGACAACTTTCAGGTTTTGTCCCATCACTTCATTCACTTTTGTTTTAAAGACCACAATTCCCCCACAGTCACATAAAGGTACTGTAGTATTAAAACCAGTTCTTTCCTCCCTCCCAGCATTCCAGAAATGCAAAGAATAATTCAGGTTATGTGCAGTTCTCAGTTGTTCAGAAACAAAGCTGAGAACTCAAATTGTTTTTCCTTGCAAAGGCTCATTTCTTGACACTCTTACCATCATTCTCTTCTCTGCCAGTTGTCTGCAAACAGCTGCTACATCCTTGACATTGGTAGGAAATCTCTGCTGCCAGTGGTCCATGTTGGCAGATTTATTACTGAACTGCACTTTATCAAACATAACAGTCACAGCACTTTCCTCCAGTCTTTCTACCTCTCCATACAAGACAGGAATCCTAAGTACTGCAGCTCCTAAAAGAAAGAATATTTTAAAAGCATTACCATTGGTATAGATAGGTATAAATGCTGCAGCACAACCTGAGAAGTAGTTTGGAAGTGTTAAGAAATAAGTTGATGATATTAAGCATCTACAAATCACAAATAAAAGGCAATTACTTAATATGTTTACTCTCAGAGAATAATTTTAATTTATATCAAAGCAGTTTATAAACACTAAGATGTATAATTTTACTTTCATTTATGCCATTGATTTCCAGGAAGTTAACAAGCTTTCATTAACAGCACAAAAGGGCCTGTTTGGGTTAGAACAAAAATTAAAAAATTAAAAAAACTGACTGTACTATGGAATTACTCCAGCACTCCCCATCCTCCCTGGATAAAAGCAAGAAGAAAAATTGCTTCCAATCACAAGTCACCATTTTCAGGCATCAATTACACATATTTTTCATCCATGATGCAGCCACCTCCTGCATCAAGGAGGATACCATTTACCAGAAAAACGACATGAACTTTGGAATGCATAAAAAGCTTGACAAATAAGGAACAGGCTCACAGAACACAGCAGTAAACAGTATTAGATTTCAAGACAGTGATTTGAGAAATTAAATTCACAGTAAACAAGTGCAAAGAGAAGGATATTTCACGATGGAATATATCATACTAGTCTATCTCAGTCATGAAGACTCAAAAAGGCTCTCAGGGGAATTCTAAGATGGCTATGACAAATTCACTAAAAGTAATAGCTTTGCTGAAAGAGAAAAAAAAAATATCAGTCCTGAAATTTGAAGCTGATGTCACCAAACCATTGCAATTTTTAACAGATTTGGAGGAAAATGCTATGGCTATTAGAGAGACAAACAGAAAAAGCTAACACAGAAGTTACTCTCATAGAAAAGTAAACCAGAATAAGTACTTAGACAAGAAAAACAAATAGAAAACCCAAATGACACTGATTTCCTGCTGCTCTAGAAACAATTATTTGGTCACTCTGCAAATATGTTCTTCCTCTCTTTAAATATTGGTTGAAACACCTCTTTTTTAATATCTTTAAAGTATTCATTGTTTGAGAAGACAACTGCCTTCCTTTTGTTCTCAGCTATCTGGGACAAGGAGAGCATTAACCTCATGACCAACTGCTCTGAAGACCTACTGAAACTTTGCAGCTTTCTAAATATAAGCTGTGTTCCCTCCTAACCAAATGTGAAAACACCCAAATTATTATTGGAGATTCTTGCATTGTACAACAGAATTTGACAGGGCAGTTCTTCACCCAACCACACGTCTGACAGACTGAATCCAACCTACAAATTAGGGGTTGAAAAACAAATACATGTAAAATATTCTTTCTGTTTTGGCAGCACAGAATCACAGTGCAAGTATCATACTGACATATCAGAAGACTCTTCTGCAAGTGTACTGAGATTATTTTCTTCAAATTCTTTGAAAAAATACAAGTGCTTCTTTCCTTATAACCTGTGACTGGAAACTGATGGCACAGAAACAGCCAAACCTCTCTTTTAAACAAGAAAGAAGTCTTAAATTAAAGGCAGTATGTTCAGTCCCAAGCTTTTTTTCCTTATTAAATAGAATTTTTTTAATTATGTGTGCATATTTTGAATGCCAAATTTTCATTAGGAAAAGATTAAAACAATAAATTAAAAAATAAAATGAGTTGCTTAAAATCACAAATGTGTTATTAAGCCTTTAGGAAGTGTTACAAGCAGGAATCTGATGTGTGTGGTAAGCTAGGTGGGTAAAAACAAAATGGGTGGCCCACTGGCTTCTGTAATGAGAGCAAAACCCAAAGAGTAACAAGAGAACATGTTGAATTGATCTGCTGGTTTTCCCTTTAAGTGAGCATACACTGAGAACACTTGCAGTGCATCCCCCTAAATAACAGCAGCTGTATATTGAGTGAGGTATTTTACCTTTCCTTAGGAACAGCAGATTCACAGGAGAAAAAGGCTCACAAATGTCCATCAGCAGAGACAAGTAACACAAATGATGATGGGAACAGGTAAGAAAGAAAGCTTTAGTCAACCTATAGGCAAGAGCAACCATTCACAAGCAAGGATTGACTGCTAATCCCATTCTTCTCTGGATCTCGTTTCCATGGTTTGCAACTTCACCACTGACTTAGGAGTCTATTAAGCCAATCTACAACTAAGCAAAAATGGAAAGCCTCTATTAAAAACAGCTGAGTGTATTCTTACCTTCATTGTTTTCCAGGACTGCCTTTTCACCCTCCAGCTTGGTTTTACCATATAAATTCAGGGGATTTGGTACATCAGTCTCTTTATAAGGAGGGCTTGTTCCATCAAACACATAGTCTGTACTGATGTAGATCAGAAACGCTCCAACTCCAGCTAGGAAGAAAATGTTTATATATAGTTTATTTTAATTCATGCCTTGTTTGAAATGCCAACAAACTTCAAAACAAATCTCCCAAGGAGCTCATGTTCTCTCCCCATTCATTCCTACTGCTTTGTTGCTGATCCTTCACATATCTGTGCACAACACCCTTACAGAAAACGGATGGATGGCACATTGATGGCAGAAGTAACATTCAGCACTTAGAGTAACTTACTTGTATTGATGTTCCTGTATAAATAAATGCAGTATTTAAAAACAAAAAAACAATCCATGACATGGTCTCCTTACCTGCCTCTTTTGCCAAGTTTGCTGAAGCAGCCACATTGAGCTGAGAAGCAGCATCTGGTTGACTTTCTACAACATCTGGCCTTCTTTCAGCAGCACAATGCACTATAACATGAGGCTGGAAATTAAAGACTAATTTTAAACAAGAGATTGCAGTTGCACCCTAACTGTAGTGATGATGCCCCTCAGGCAAAAGTGAAGTAATAAAAGTAGCAGTGTTACTTTTAATCACGGCATTCTGAGGAGCATGTGTTCCCTGGGGAGTACAATACAAACTTGCTGCCTCAAGATACCAAAAAAATTTATCATTAGTTTTGCAATTGTGATCTTCAGCAGCTTCACTTTTACAGTGAGACTGAAGTTATTGGTTTTGCCTTTTTAACTCTGTATAATAAAATATATTAATACAAAGATGTATTTCTCACATGCACAAGGGTGCTAAAAACTTTTAGATAAGGCATTTACACACGGCTTATTTAACATATGAAGATTATTAAGGAGATATTAAAAGTCATTTTATAGAATTGCAGGGTTTATATATTCCCTTTTCCAGGTGAACTGAAAAAAACAGTGAACTCCTCACTGCACTGCAGGCTACACACAGTTCCTGCTGTTGTGTTCAGGTGTTCTTGCACTTCACCAGAACTGTGTATGGACACATTACTGTGTGAATAACTCACATTTCTCTTGTCCTTTGTTCTGCCATGTACAGCTGTGCCTGCAGCCTGTCGAGGTGAGGACAGCACAGGTCAGAGCTGTCTGTCCCTACAGAGCAAACCTACTCTGGGTGGGGCACAACACACATTTGTCAGAGCTCTGCCCAAGCATCAGCCCCACTGCAGTCCCAGAGCTCAGCAGCACCATCCACTGACTGCTACACAAAGTACCCCATCCATCCACTTCATACTCCACAAACTTACCTGAAAGTCATGGATAATGTCATGAACTGCAATAGAGTCCAGAAGATTAATCTGTTCAAATCTGGGCTGAGCTCTCCTGTATCCGCAGCCAACTGCATTCCAGTTATTTTCACGGAATTCTTTAAACACAGCTCTGCCAAGAAGTCCCGTTGCACCAGTGATCAAAACTCGCCTACTGGGAATGTCAACATCTTCCTAGAAAAATGACAACAGCAAAAGTTTTGTTTCTACTGCAATTTTCTACTGTTTTCTCTTTAGAAGTATGCGAGGCCACAGTCAGAGCTACTGTATTAAATAAGCTTTTCCTGAGTCTTTCGGAGTGTCAAGGAACACAAACATCTGGGAGCACCGATACTGCAGCCAGATTAATATTTAAACATACACTTGAAGATAATGAAAACAAAACTTTAGCAGGAAACTCATTCACTTCTACAACAAACCAAACCACTACTGAAGACAGAATTTTAAGTTCATTCAAAAGCTGACAGCTTTGTGCAGTCTGAAAGGAGGGAAACAACTTCTTTAGAAAATGGACCCAAAAGATGTAAGATTTAGGGTCCGAATGGTACAACAAATAATTTTGGATAGATTGTGCCTGTTAGAAGCTTCAGCAATACAACATAAATCACTGTAAGAACCAAAGACTTCAACTTTATTATTAAATAGAACAGTAATTGATTGTTACTCAACAAAACAGTCTAATAAAGAAAACCAACACACAGATCTCTTGCCAGTTTTACAAAATGCACCTGAAAATGATTTGACAATTTCAACTCTCAATCTACACAACAGACTAAAGCTGTACTTCAGCTCCCCGTTTTGGTACTGGGACAACTTTGTACATCAGCACAAACTTTATCCACCTCTCAGAAGAACATCAAGTTTTAAAGGCAGCAAACACAAGATCTGTGTCTGTCTATATAATCTTTATTTTCCTTTCATGCTTTGCTTCTGCATCTACCATAAACAACAGCAACATGAAAACTAAAACACAACACAAAAACGAAAGCATATGCTTACCATGCCAGTACAGAAAAAAACTTTGGGTGTGCAGAACCCACAAACCTTGGATTTCCTGACTACTTTACACAAAAGGACAATTTGTGATAACTGACTGTAATTTTGTACATCACAGAATACTTCTGCTATGCAATCCCAACAGCCCAGGAATTTCTGAGCATTGTACCAGACTGCTACTTTTTGATTGCAGCTCAGGAAACCACAGCAATTGCTTCCAAATTACTGGTTTTCACCCTTGAAGTTACAAAGCTTTTGTTCCACAAGGGTATATGCACAGCTCTGTGCATGACAGAAACAGCCTATCCCAAAACAACTGCTTCCAGTTCCCAGCACTGTGCGTGCAGTTGTCTCATCTCTAAATCTCCAGGTGAAGGATGACTTATTCCCATCAGTACTGGATGAAAATTAATAATTTATATCTGGACAGTTGCCTGAAAATGACAGACTACAGCAAGTGATGTTTCAAAAATTTTGTTTGTTGATGTCCTTAAATTTTACCTCAGAACACAAGTTTATTTACCATTTTTAAGGCTATCCATGTTTCTCTGAAGAGCATGAGTGAGAATGTGCAACTACTGCTTTCTCCTGCACTTTTTCCCTTTGCAAAATCTGCCCAGAGTGTCACAGGACATTTGATCAGTGTTTCTGCAGCCAGAGCTGCCCCAACAAACATCCAAGACTTGCTGCAGAACAGAGTCAAATGGCTCTCTAAAAATGTCACCAAACATCTTTAATAAGAAGGAAGTGATCAACACAAAACCAAGTGTCATTCGTAAAATCTGACATTTCTAAGCCTCATTCATCTAAGTTTGTTTATTCTGCACAGCATAAAGAGGATGTTACATCAGCAGCACAGCTTGAACTGGACACAAACACAGCTTTCACCAAGCACAGCTCGCATCCTGTTGCTCTTGTCTGCAAGACTCATTGATTTTAGTCACTTGTTTCTGAAAAAGCAAGATAAAGGGTAGATGTTTCCCATAAATCCAACACAAACCAACTAACAGTTTGAACCTATTTCACCTTGCCAGAAGTTACATGTTCTGGTGATAACAAAACCTGCACAGACGAACTCTTTCCCTAGAAGCTCCTTCACAGAACATCCCCCAGCTGCAGCAGCATTTCTGTCTCAGAACCACAGAACTTCTGAGCCCAAAGGCCCTCAGAAGCTCCATGTTCCCACCACTGCTGTTTGCAGGTGCTCTCACAGATGTGCAGAAGGTGCTGTGTTGTCCACACACAGACAAGAGAGCTACAAAGCACACTTCGATTTTGAAGTAATTTTATATACTGTTACTGTACATAAAGAAAAGAAGACATTCTAGAACTCAAATATTATCCTTCTGCCTGCAAGTTTTATAGGTGTAAATGCAGATCCCTGTTCAGATGAGCCTTGTGCTAACAAATCCTTCACATGTGTTTCTCAGCTAAGCCACAACCACATTCCAATCATCAAGCACGCAAAAACTTGTCTTCACAAACCATTTTGAATAACACCACTGCTACGAAGAATTTTGAGCTTCATAATGAAGCACATCCAATTTAATTCTGTTTTATCTGATGTCAACACTAACTAAGAATTAACACAATAAAAAACGAATTGTGCTTGGCTGTCTCACTCACATAAAAATAAACAAGTGGCAACATCCTAAGATTAAAAAATAACACTTATGTGACATCAGATTACTTTGCAGACGCTAACAATATACAAAACAGGAGTGTAATTTACAAAGAGAGCAAAACGTGATGCGTTTCGAGGTGAAAAACAGAAACAAGTACTCTTTAAGCTTCGTATTTTTATTTACAAAATCGCGACGAACTCAAAACACCAACTTTAAGGAATGGCCACCACAAAGCGGAAGCTCCTAGTGTAACACACATTTGCAACATAATACGGCGATACACAAGCCCCTGCAGGGAAGGCACGGGGAGACCGAGCTCCGGCTCAGCTCTGACATAACCCTGCAGCGACAGAAAGCAAAAGGCAAACCCTCGGGCTTTGCAAGATTCCGCCTGACAGCCGAACCCGCAGCCGCGCTCCCAGAGGCTGCTCCGCGTTCCCCTCGCCCACCAAACCCCCACTGCTGCGGCAGCTCACGGACACCTGTGGGGATCACGGGCACCGCCCGGGACAGCGGGCAGGGCCGAGCCTCCCAAAGGAAACCCGTGTGGAATCTCTGCACAGGCTCCCCGTGGCACACAGACCCTCTCTGTGCCGTGACCCCTCAGCGCCCTGTGGCCATTCCGGTTCGACACCGCGAGCAGTCCCCGCGCCGCTCGGTCCCCGGAGCCCCCGGCAGCGCTCCCCGCGCTCCCTCAGGCGCAGCCCCCGCGGCCGCGGCCCCCCTCCCCCCCCGGGCCTCCCTCAGCGCTCGGGGCCTGCCCGCCCGGCCCCGCGCCGCACTCCCGCAGAGACCCGCCCCCCGAGCTCACCTCCAGAGCTCCCCGCAGAGACTCACCTCGACGAGCTCGCAGCGGCCCGGCGCGAAGCGGATCCGGAGCTCCTTCTCCCGGCCGACCATGGCCGGGCCTGCTGCCGCTCCCGCTCCGCGCCCGGCGCTGCGCGACGGACGGGCCGACAGGGGGCGCCCGAGCCCGGCCGCGCCGCGCGCGACGCACGCGCCCCCCGCCGCCGCGCGCTCATTGGCTGAGGAGCGCTGAAGGGGCGGGGCCGGTGCGGAAGGGGCGGGGCTTTGAATCCCGGAGTGACAACCCCGATCCCACGTGGAGCGGTGGGAAAGCGGCTGTTCCCAACACCGAGGAAAAGCGCTTTTTTTTAAAATTTAAAATACACGGCCCAGGGCACGCGCTTTAGCAGGGACACAGCGGCAGTCCCGTCCCCTCTCCACAAAACCTAAAAGCATACTGGTTTCTAGGAAACCAGCCCCAACGCCCATTCCTGGTGTTGAGTTTCTCGGGGTGGAGAAGGAAGCGGGAGTGAGCCGGAGTGTACCCGGGCTGCCTCAGCTGCAGGCTGGCTCCTGTTTTCATCGTGTTTATGGTGCTTCGAACAGTAATTAAAGTTACTGCAGTAAGCACATGACTGACTTTTAGCATTACCAAGTTCACCTACTGAAACTCTGCTCTTTCCATTGTAATCTTTCAGGTGAGGAACTTTATAATTGGACCAAAATATCTTATTTGGCTGCTAGAACATTCCTCTTAATATGGCTCTGTCACAATCACTACAAGTTACTTCATTTCTCCTTTTAGAAGGGTAGACAACAATAAGCATTTTCAATTTGCCTTTATCCAGAGTTTGATCTAAAGCCCACTGGTGAATCCCACAGAGAAAGTGAAGCTACCTTTGAGAAAGCAAGCACAACTAATATTCACAGGACAAAAAAGTGAGATATATACATATATATATGTATATATAAACTACTTTAGGCAGTTTCTGCCTTCTTGTAACACAGGTGCCCTTTTCTTCCTTGTAACAAGCTACTGACATGTATTTCTCTTTCATTAAACTTAGAATTCTGTTTTAAAATAACAGTAGCTCCTAACTTCAAATCCAGAAGGAAAAATCTACAAAGAAATACTGAACTATTCAGCAGCTCTGAGGTAACAACTCCCAGCACATCTAACGCCACACCACTTCCTCCCAACACAGACTGGAAGAGCCTCCTGTGCATCTTAACATAAACCATGACATGGAAATGGAAATTTTGCCTTCCAGGCTTTGAGCAAGAGAAAAATAGAGAAAGCATGAACACTGAAGCTTCGAGCTACAACCAATAATCAGCCTGTAAAATACCTTCACTTTTTTGTCGCCAGCATAAATTACAAAAACTATGTATATATTATGTAATGAAGATAACAAATTAATCTATTTTTCCTCATATAATCTATTTTTTCCTCAAATATTTACCTGGATTCAGCAGTGTTCTACCTATACTTCCAATTTATTTACTGTCATTACATTCACTTTGTGAAACACTGATTTCATGGAACAGTTCAACAAAAATTATATTGTTGTCTGTATCACAGTCATTCAAGCACAATGCACCCCTGGATGACTCAATGGACCATTCATTAAATTAACATTTCAGACTGTAATTCACAGAGACTGAAGAATAATTAAGTCTCTCTCTCTCCCCTCCTGTTTCTGTTTCCTTAGATTCTGTAATCAAAGTGTGGCAGCATCATATTAACGCAAATATGTAGAGCCTTACCTGCTCCATTCCCACCAGCATTTCAGGCATTGCCTCAAACTCCAGAGGGAATCACCAGCCTAGGAAATTATTGCAGTTCACCTGTGCTCTTGCCCCTTTATGGGCTGTGCCTGCACAGAGCACATGCCCTGGAAGCAGCAATGGCTCTGCTGACCTTTGAAACCCAAACACTAATCCAAGCCCTACATCACGTGGGGCTCAGAATCCTGTTAAGCTTTTGGTCTGGTCCCAGCGGTACCATTTAAGCAGCTCAGTGTGAGCCTAAACTTTTACTTCATAAGAGGCAGCAGGAGCAGGCACAGCCATTGTGTGTACAAAATTCACTCAAAGCACTGGCACTGAGTCTTACACAGTTTTCCTTTTATAGGAAACAGGAGGAGGGCTCTAATTAGGTCAGGCAGGTTGAGGATTCTAACAGCTCTTCATTTTACATTTCAACCAAGCACAGCCCAGCCCTTGCTACAATACAGCGTGATGAATCAGAGAAATAACTCCTTGTTAAATTATGGATTTTGCAATTAAAATCAAAAAAAAGTTCCACAACATGAAAGTAATGAATTCGTGCAGTGAATACTTAAGTCAGTTGAGCTACCAATGTCAAGGTTTCAGTTTTTAAGACTTGATTTGATATGTGCACTTCAGTCAAACTGCTAAATTGAATACCAAGTCTTCTCTTAATTCAAACACCTGAAGCTAATCCTCATCCTCAGTCTTCAGCATATCAAGTAATCCAGCAAATACATAAAGATGACATCAACAAATAACATTAGCAATTTCTTTCCTTGGCCTTAATGTGCATTTTTTTGTATATCCCTTCCTAGGAATTATCAAGTCTCTGTAAACTCATAATGTCAGAATAAATGGCAACATACTCTACATGCTAAGTTTTGGGTACTGCCTCTCTGCAGCTCCTCTCTGCAGCTCCTCTCTGCAGGGTATCAGCAGATACAATAACAAGAACACCAAGTTCCACCTTTCAGTTAAGTTCAGTATTTACTTCTGTACTAAGAGAAACTCACAGGAAATGAGAGGATAAGAGAATTGCAGGTTGTATGTATTGTACAGTTCAACTAAATAATTTCCCTAAGACCAGAGAACATGTAGTTTTTGAGCTAAGACTGACATTGGGCTGTGTTATGAAAACAAGACTAGAACAAAGAACATCAGGTGAGTCACACTGCTTTGGCTTTTATCCCTGCCTTGTGAAGGAAGTAGACAGATTCTTTATTTCAAAAATTTTATTGTGCTAAAACATGCTTAATTTTAGATGCAGTTAAACAGATTCTTTTCCCCTTGCCCAAATCTGAAGTCTGTACAATGCCTGCACATACAGTGGGTGCCCTTCCACACAAATGAGACAAGTTCTGTTGTTATTCCCTGTCACTAACACTGATCAATTCCAGCAGTTGCCCACAAAGACTTTATGGCAGTTTAGGAGTCCAGTGAGCACAGCATTCCTAACAGACATTGCTCTTAAGACACTGTTCTTACCCACAGTGGGCATACATTTAGGGAAATGCAATCAATTTGACTTTGACCTGAAATCTTCTTCTGAAGATTTCAACAGCTGCAGTACCTCCCCCAGGATTTAAATTAGCTTGTCCTGAATACAGATCCCATAGATAATATCAAAAGTAAGTGTACAGTCCCATTTCCTGCATTGGTTCTATACTGTGTAGGCCACAGAGGGAAAAGGGTCTCTTGGCAGTATTGCTGTATTTGGTATTGAAGCAACCATAGACAACAAAAATAATTTAACATAAAATTGTATACATGAGATACATGCAGGAAACCCACAAAAGCTTTCAGGAAATCGGATTTGATTTGCAATCTTATTTGCCAGTGCTTATTCACCTTTTCCCAACTTAAGCTGCTTTGTCCAAAACAAACTAAGCAGATTCAGTGTATCAAAGAAGTGAACAGGGAACACTTTGGAGTTCCCAAGTGCAATGATGTTAACAGGAGTCAGGAACGTGTGGCTTCTCAACAGAAGTATAGCCAAGCATAGTTTTTACAAAAATGTATAATCTTAGATCATTTCTCTAATGCTCCTACTAATTTATATTATATACAGCATCCAAGTTCACCTTGAAGCAGTCTGTTGCAGTCTTCTGTAGCATACAAATTCATTGGTACTTTATTTTTTCTCTTAATACTAAGAAGGCATTAAATTTTGTTTTTATTACCTGCAATGGAAAAACATTACTAAGTTTGTGTTTTTCACTACTGCTCCCACCACATCAAGTAGTTACTTGTCTGCTGGGGGGGTAGAAGGCACTACACTCCATCTAACAGTGAAACCAGGACTTCAGACCCCAGAACAGATTCTCTAATGAAAGTCTGGTTCCCACACTCTCTCCCACCCTGCTTGCCTTAGTGCACCCCTAGGCTCTCTCCATCTTTTCCTCCACTCCACATCTCCAGGCCTTTTGCAGCTTTCCATGACACCTACAGTAGTCTAAGGTCCTGACAAGTAGCAGCTAAAGAACCAAGGCACAGAACTCTGCCTGAGCCACTTGTAACCCACCCCCATGCAGGGGACACTGCCTGTCCCCTCATCAGCTGTACCATGTGAGCTGGGTGACAGGAGGAAAATGGCTCTGCTGTCTGACCCAGCACAGCACCTGCTCAGGTCAGGAAGGACCTGGCCTGGCAAGCACAACAGCAAACTGCACACTGGGAGTGCCCCACTGATGTAGCCTCCAACATCTGCTGTGAAACACGGGAGATGCCATTCTCCTTCCTTCCCTAAATGTAGCAGACTGTGCAAGGCTCTCATACCTTCTTTGGAAGTTTAAGTACAAAGACTTGGCTACATTAAAACCTAAACCTACCTTCTTTAAGAGGGGTTTTTGGAGGAATATTCTCCTTGCTATCATACTGGAAAGCTTTGGAAGGAGCCAAATGCTGGATGCCCTGGACTGCACACAGCTGCTCCTGGAGGTCTCTGTTGGTTTGCTTTTCCTTGGATAGCAGCGCACGCAGTTTGGAGACATCCTACAGAAAACATCATACTTGGAAGTTAGATTAAGAACAGGAGAAGAGCCTGCTTGGTTATTTACTTAAGAGCCATTTTGCCTAAAGATAAACATACACACAATTACTGGTGCCATTAAAACCCCAACCCAAACACAGCAGTGCAGAGAAACCAGCAGCACTATATAGTTGCTGTGCAACACCACTAAGCACTACATTAGTCTGAAACGTTCAGCTGCTGCTTTCAGCAGCTAGTTTACTAAGTTTAGAACCTCCAAAGGAGGTAAGAAAAGCCAACTAAACTAAGAATAGGAGTAGTTATTTGCACACTGCTGATCCCTCTGTGTGTCATACACTCAGTCAAAAATAAAACAGGTTCTCTTGGCGTTTCTGGAGGCTGGTGGTTTGTTCCAGTCTGGTTCATGCAGGGAATTTAAGAATCATAGACAGTAAGGAGCTTGCAGGATTCATCTATAAATATTTAGAGCAATAAAAGGCATCAAGCACATTAATAACTTGCAGCTTTGTAATTTTTCATTTTACAAACCTGCTTCAGGTGGCTATTCTCATCCTTCAACTTCATAACATGCTTGATTTTTTGCTTCTGGTTCTGGTGGCCAAGTAGTTTAGCATAGGCATCGCTTAGTTTATTCAGTTCTTCCTGGGCTGCACCGTGCTCCTGTAGGAGTGCATTCTTCTCTGCTTCAAATGCATCTAGTTGTTGCTGAAATACAAACTGAATCTCTTAGAAATCATTTAACTAAACACAGCTTTTTACTCAACTGAGATCTACACAGGAAGATTGGTTTGGGGAGCAGACTAGCTGGCTCAATGCAGAGTAACTTGGGAAACCACTGCAGATAAATGCCTTGCAATGAGAAGTAGCATGTTTACTTCTCAAAAGTAGAACTTGAGCCAACTGCACAAGTCTTCAGTCAGACACTAACACACACCTACTTCCCAACACACCTGAAAAGGCTTAGTTTTGTTATATAAATCTTCATATAGATTACGCCAGGTCTTTATCTCTTTTTTTAAGCTTGAGGTCACATCTTCATTTATGGATTTCCTAAAAAGCAAGAAGTGAAGTTTCATTATGTTCATTGTTAACTCACAGCACTTTTTCCCAATATAACTTGGGTAAGCCATAATATGCAAGTTTAGTTTGAGAAAGTTACCTTGACCTTTCTGCTTCAAGTTCCCTTTTCAGTTCTTCAGTTTGCTCTTCCAGTTTTTCCTGAAGTTTCGTCATTTGTGCAAGGCAAGACTCTTTTGTTCTCTCTGTTTCTGCTTCTTTTAGTGCAAGCTTGGTCTGGACTTCTAAAAGCATCCTGAGGAAGATATCATTCCTTAATGAGCCCTTAAATTTATCTTTTTTTTTTTTTTTTTTACACAACTCTAAATCTCAAAACACAAGTAACCACGATTGAAAAGCTGCCAGTAGAACTGAAATACAGGTTTGCACAAACAGTGCCACAGAGACAACAACACTACAGAAAGCAATCAAGTTTAAGCTGTACAATAATTAACTTCTCCTATGAGGAAGCAAGCACTGTTTCTGAAGCAAGGAAAGATAATGGCTGTTCAATGCCAGCAGCTTTTAGCAGAGGTAGTTTATTAGGCTTTACATGCAGAGCTTTGCTCAAGCAGAAACCAGTCAAACTGTTCAGTGTGAATGCACCTCAAGATTTCAAAAACCCTACACCTAAAAGCACTGCCTCCCCTCTTCAGCCTCAGCTGTTTGTCCCATCAACCAGGTGGGGACCAAGAACCCCTTCCCTGCCACACTGAACCAGCAAATCCAACAGAAGACAACTCTTCAGTTTTTCTTTTACCAGCTCTCATGGAAACTGGAGGCAATAATAAGCAGGTGGGAAGGAAAGGGAGGGCAACATCTTAACCAGCAGATAAAACACAACATGGACCACTAAACTGCTGTTAGATAGTCAGAGGAGCATGTCCTCAGCTGTGGCCTAACACAACTTCTTGGGTGTTAGTTCTGGTTAACTGTGGTGCCTCATATTAGGCAGAGAGGACCTTGGTGCACATCACCAGTGTGGTGATTCATGGATGGTTAATTGGCATCTGCTTGTGAGCAGAATTTGAGGTGACACGTCATTCAGAGTAGAATGACAAAGAGTCCATTAAGTATTTGTCTCCCCTGTGGATCTTATCTGTGGAGCAGTCACTGTAACTGATATTTTTCAAAGTGACAATATTCCAGCATATTTCATTCAAGTATTTTCCTTTTCCTCTATGTTCTACATGTAGGCAAAATTCAAAACAACTGATTCAACCTTTTGCACTGGGAAAAGCAAGAATCTCCAGCTTACAGCAAATGCTGATCTTACCCAGTAGAGCACCACATTAAGTTCTAGTTAGAAAGGAGAGCCTTAGTTTGCATTATTTAGCTTAAGGAAGACTGACTGTAGTACCTTGCACATTCTTCTTTCGCTTTGTTTTTAGTGTATTCTGCTTCCTGGAGCAATTGTTGATTCTCTTGGCCTACTTTTTTAAGGTTGGCAACTGCTTCTTTCAGAGAGGTATTCTCCAGTTTAAGACAGCGTATTTCTTCAGCTGTTGTCTTCTTGTAGCTGATATTACAAGGCAAATAAGAAAAATCTGGTTACTTCAGGCAAAATACAAATTGACACATTCAGGCCTTACAGAACAACACAAGCTCATGCTGATAAGTACCAAAGATTTTATAATCTGAAGATATGGCAGTGTTCTGGCACTGATAAATCCAAAGGTAAAAAGCAAGCCACAACACAATTCCATAAAGCCATAAGCACTAACACTGTAACAAATTCTGTGATACAGATATTTTCATTTTTTTGTAGACATTTTAGAATACAAAAACCCTGCTGTATCTGAAGCTTATTTTAAACACCAAAAGACCTACTGTCTGCAGTTTGCATTGGCAAATATCCTACTGGATCCTTCACAGGTGCCATGCATATCTGGGAATAACAGTACCACTTTTTACATACTTCCATAATCTGAATATTTTGAGATAAAATATTTGCAAGAAACATAGGAAACTAGTCTTTAATTCAGTGCAAGTTTTGAGCCTAAACAAGAACTCTTTTTGCAAGATATTTCAGTGCAAAGAGAACACCATCACTGGTTACAACTCTTATTCTGGTTTGAGAGCATTTAAATACTTTAACTGGTTACATTTTGGAAGAAGAAACATCCAGTTTCCTGAACTACATACTCAGTATGTCTTTAGACTTGCCTAGTACTCAAGGAATAAATTCTTAATGCCATCAAATACTCCTCTGCTCTAATGCCACACTCATATACAGTGTGAAGTACCAAGGCATGTGAATGGACAGTGTATTTCATTGTTACCTTAGAGATAATCCCTGTCCTGTATCTTAATGAAACTTAAATACCTTTCGAAGTCAGCAACAGTCTCTCCAAGTTTCTCCAGTGTATTCCTATGCTGCTCTTGGATTTGCAATACAGCCCTCCCATGAGTTTCATTGATTTGCTCCAACTCAGCATTCTTCCTGAAATAAAAATTCAGTGTTCCACACTGGAGAGAAGTATCTGAACACATTACCAAATGCTCTTATCAGTTACAGAAGGCTTGCAGTGACAAACCAGTAACTCCTCATGTACTAAAGCACAATCTTCACAGCAGATATAACTAAGCTTTTCCCCCTCCTCATATTTTACAAGACAGTTATAGGATACACTAAACACCTAATAGTTAATTTCTAATACATGGAAGGAAGCAACAACTGGCTTGAAAATCTTTTCTAGTCATTGCCCTCTCCAAGGCAGGGCAGAAACACCCAATACAACAAGCATTTAGTTTACCCTGCACAGCAAGGACATAGCACTACAATACTAGCCTTTCAAGCAAATCCCAAGCTAATAGTTTTAAATTAAAAGTGTCAAACTGATTCAAGTTGCTATTCATAGTGATGAGATCTAATCACTATATAATCAACAACCAGCAAGAAATAACTCTAGACATGCCCAGGACTCTAAAACCTGAACTGGGCTCAGCAGCTTTGTTTATACTACTGATTTAAGATTTTTCCTTTCAAAGTTTCAGAACCAGAAAGTTTTTCCACAAACCCTTTCAACTTTTCTTCCATCTGTGCAAGTTCAAGACCTTGAGATTTGATTTCTTGTTCCAATTGCTTCACCAACTTTTCAGCTTTCTTCTCCTTTGCATGTAATTTATTCAGCTCATTCATGGTATCATTCAGCACTTCTTCAAGAAGAAGTCTCTCCCTTGTTATCTCATCCTGCAACTCCAGTAACCTCTGCTGTGTTGATGCAGATGACTCCTGCGTGCCAGAATACCACAGATTTCAAAATTTATAGTAGTTTTCTAGATAGTAAAAGCTAATTTGCTGTGTTTTAACTTCAGAGCACAAGAATAAGCTCAAATCTACAGGAAGACCAAAATACCCATCATACCAGCACTGATTCTTCGAGCTATTGGACCACACAGCTTCTGCTGGCCAGCCCCCACTGATGAGACCATTATTAATACAACATCTCATGCATAATGTAAACCAGAACCTTTAGTGCCAGCCCTTGGGATTAGAGTTTTTCTTTAGACTAATTTATAGTCTGTATTTACCTTCTCTTGCTGCAGCTGAGAGACAACCTCCTCATGTTTCTGAAGCAGTTTTTGGTGTTGTTCTTCCTCCAAAACAATTTTTTTTTTCAGGTCTTCTATTTCAGCAGTCAGACTCAGGAATTTTCCTCTGGTCTCAGACAACTCTTTCTCTGCATAGAGAAATTGTCAATATAACACAAATTGCCTTCTCCATTTTCAAAGAACTACAGAATCTATTTTTAATACTACCTTCATTCCAGCTTTAAAGTTAGTTTGGCAAGGGAAAAACAAAAAAAACAAAAGACACCCCATGCAAAACAAACCCATATCTTAAACCCAAGTGGAAACTCCTCAAAATCTGCTCGAAGTACATCACTTGAAAATAATTTTAACAGCAGGAATGTTTGGATCAAGCAACTAGCCTTCATCAGAACAGCAATATGGCTGGGGAAAAACTATGATTTTGCCAAAGCTTCTTCCACATAATACTAGCATACAGAAGCCAACTGGTACAGAGAACTGAGTACCTGTCTCACACTGCAGAGTTGGTGGTGTTGGGAGAGAAGGGGCAAGGAGGCCTTGACACATCACCAATACCTCAATGAACCTGTGCACAAGCTGCTAACAGTGAATTCAGACAATATTATCCTGCTTCTCAGTGAAGAGAGAGGAACAAGAACTTCTCAGTGGTCGCCTTTCAGATTAAAGCCACTCCTACTATGCAAACTATTTTCATTCTATACTGTTCTACTTCAGTAAACCTCCATGGAAACACCAAATCAGACTCAACAGATGTCAGACATGAAGTAATTTCCCCATTGTTAAAAACATGTCCAGCTGTTCTCAGCTGGAGCTCGACTTTTAACTTGGAACAAACCAGTCTAAATTGACATTTTAGAATAAACCTATTTGAGATGATTTAAGATATGTCAATCATCCTACATATGGAAGAGCATACAAGTACTAAAAATTACCTTTTTCTTGTTGAAGCAATTGACACTTTTCATTAAGTTCTTTCATCAGTTTACATGATTCCTCTTTTGTTTTGAGGGTATCCCTGAGGATCTCAATATCTTGGTCTTTCTTAATCAGTGTCTCCTCCATCTGAGCAATATCTACTTTGTATTTCTCAGCTGTTTCTGCAACACTGCTGCAGGAGAAAATTCAGGCACTTGTTACTACTAAATTTTATTTGTAAGCTTACACTTCAACCCAAAGGAAAAATGCTTAGGAGTGTTGGTTTCCAATAGAAAAACTGCTTTCACCTACTTTTCCAAACAAGTTTTTGCACTGTAAGACTGGTTTACATGGACATAAAACTCTTCCACAGTACTGCTCAGCCCAGAAAAGCACAGAGGCTTTTAAAAAGATAATTAAAATAATATCTTACAATTACTTTCCATTGTGTGGAAATATACCTGATTTCTTTTCCCTCCTCTATGATTATTGCCAAGGTTCTACTTCACCAGTCATAAGTGAGGCTTAGTTTTACCACCTTTTAACTTCCCCCAGCCAACTTGAGAACAATTTGTTGTTACCTGAGCTCTGTGATGTATTCCAGGAGTTTTTCAGTGTCAGACTTTTCTACAACTTTCTCTCTCTCAGTAGCAGACCTAAAACCAGGAAGTTTTTATGATGGATATATTTAAGCAAATTCAGAGCTACATAGTAACACGTATCTTTCATAACCCAGTTTAGCTGACAAACTGGTATTGGCTCTACGTGGTGATTCTTTTTTATTTCTTTTAATTCTTTTCTCTTTTAATACTTGTTCCATATGGTCTCCTCATTTGCAGTAAAGATGCTGAGCCATATTCTGCCACAAGCAATATGCCACAAACATCATAATGAATAAACATAATGCAGCTGTTGTAGCAAATTATCATGTCCTCCCTTTGTGACCTGCACTACCTGCACTATCAGCTTTGTGTATTTTAACATTCCAGTTGTGCTGCAGTGCCAATCATGCAAAACTGACATAAAATATTAAGTTCATCCTTCATAGGTCACCATCCTCAGCAAAAACAGTGCACTGTTCCTGTGCTGGAAGTGACATTATTTGGGCAGAATAGGAAGTGTTGATTCAGAACTCAGTCTCTACCTACACAGAGCTGCTGAAGCCAAGCCACTCTGCAGTTGCCTTTGTTCAGAGAAGGTCTAGGACAAAGCAACTGTGAAGGTACCAAATGGCTCTTCAGTGCCACTCTCTGGAGAACATGCACATGTCCAGGGAATCTATGTGAAATGCCTGGCTGCTGAATTAGGATTTCTGCTCCTGCTCTAAAGCTTTTCCATTCTTGCTTATTCCTAACTTAGTAGCCTAAAGAGCCAGAAGCATCCAACCTACATGAATGTCTTGCTCCAAGATGAACAACAATTCTTAAGACTTATGTCTTCCCTCCCCATCCCATACCCAAAAAAATCCCACCCACACCACACTGGAAGACAGAGGGTTGAGATGATACAGTCTGTCTTTTGGAAATACACTAAAGGAACTATGTTTTGTATGGTCATTTTATAAGAACACAGCAGTTCTTAGAAGTTCATTCCACCACATTTTTTCCATATTACCAACACTGATAACGTCTGTTCCTTCTCAGCAGGACACAGCCTCTATTTTGCTTACTCTAAGGGATAAGCTGTAAGCGCAGTTAGATGGTATCTTGTCAACCAAGTCAATTCCCTTTCTACTACTTACAGTTTTTCTTCTAACTGTGCTACTTTTCCTTTTGAATGCTCTAGATTCCTTTGCACTTCCTGCAACTTCATTTCCATGTTTTCCTGCTTTGCAAGTGCAGTCTTAAAAAAAAGACACATTAACATTGAAGTGAGATTTAGTAAAAAACACCAAATCCATTGAGTAAGAGACAGTGGTAAATTGAAAACAATTCCTCACTACAGTTTAATGACAGCACCTGATATTATGCTAAATGTGATTCCAAGTATCCCTCTGTAAAGATATCAGCCATTTATTAGAACAACCACTATCACCAGAAAATACAAACATATGAGAGCTTCAAAATAAACTTACAATCACCGGTTTTCAAAGAGATTCCTAGTGTGACCAGACTGGTATTAATAATATCATAAATAATAACACCAGAGGTATTTCTATGCTTCCTTACTTGAACTCAGATTTACTCTGCAGATCAGCAAAATCAAGAACATTCATCAGTTGATCTTTCCCTATTTTCACTCTACAGAAAGTAGAGGAAGTTACCAATTTGAGGACAGAAAGAACACATTATCTGAAGTTCTGTGCTAAGCCCTTCATTCTTTGTTCCTGAACAGCTCAGAATTGCTGTCCTGTGCAGCACAAATGGTCCTACCTTTTCCTTAGCATCCCTCATGTTTCTGAGCTTCATTAACTCCATGCACAGGCTGCTCATTTTCTTTTGCACACCATCTTCAGACAGCTTGTTAGAGAAGAAAATAAAATTACTAAGCATAACTCCTCCACATGAACTGCTCTTCACAAAATCCTTTCAAAGTGTTCCCCTCCCACTCTGTTTAGAGAGAAGTGGACAAGATCCCAAACCAGACATGCTTCATCCCTGTGCCAAGGAAGGGGGCACAGGGAACATCAAAACAGATGCTGATTAGCAGCTAAAGCTTCCTCCTGCACAGGGAGCTCGATAACAGCAAAGACAAAGCAAATATGCAGTTATTTGTCTGAATACCTTTGACTTCAGTAGTTCATTGCTTCTTTTTAGTTCCAGAAGCTGTTTTTTTAGGCATGCAACAGTTGCTGAAAGAGATGTTTTCTCCTGAACTGCAGCACTCAGCTTTGCTTCAGTCTTCACAAAATCCTCATCCAGAGCCTGAAGTTTTTTATCCTGCTCCCCACGCTCTCTCACTAATGCTCGAATCTAAAACAAAAGAGTTATTTTCTTTATTTCCTACTATCATTTCTCTTAACAACATCATTAGTTTAGTCTCTCCAAGAAAACCACAGGCAAAAGTATCCAACCAGTATTAACTTGCATATCTATCTTCAACTGCCACGCACAGGAAAGAGATTAAATAGAGAATTGTAGTGATGCTGTTATTACACAGCACACATTTACAGTCCCAGTACAATATCTTAAAGTCACAATAGTCTTAGCTTTCATTTGCAACAGAAGCCAACTCTCCTCTTTGATGTGATGCCCAAAATGGAAGAAAAGTTCTCCAAACAATATTAGTATAGATAAGACAGAGAGCAGCTCTCGAATGAAGGCCTTCAGGTGCACACAATATGTAGGCACACACTGGCATACAGAATTCTTACACTTTTATATCTTTAACTAATTGTCATATCTAGTGGGGACAACCAACCAAAAACCCCTTTCACTCTGGTACCACCCTCAGAACTGCCCCACTGGAGCCCCTCCAAGAGCCTTATATCTTCTTGTCTACCATATCTCTCAGTATTCCGGTCCAGGTGCATATCCCAACGGAATGCCCTTGAAAAGACAGTTAAACCAAAGCTCCAGGAATCCGATATGGACTGTGAGAAAGTAACTGTCTCAAGTGAGAGAAAACTACACAGCTACACTGACATCTACAAAAACCTAAAAATCTTTAGGCATCAGCTGTGACAGACAAGAAGACAATGTGACATCTGAGGCACAAGGCATCAATTAGTACACAGAAGTGTACTGATACAGTGTAAGTTGCCTCTTAAACATTAAAATTATAACAATTAGTAAGCAAAAATCTCAGCTAACAGTTGTTAAATAGAACCTTTTTGGGGTACTGAACATAGTTCACTTAGTTCTCTTTCTGAGAAGAGTGACAGTACAGCTGTTCTTAGCAAACCCAATGCTTTGTACATCCCATAACATATGATAATCTCTGCTCTGCACAGACCTGTTTGCAAACTACTCATATACTCTCTTATGCAAAAGAGGCCAATTCTACCAGTTTGTATTTTTGACTTTGGTTAGTGGCAGATATGACAGGAATGCACCCCATAACACATTCATACCTCCTTCTCCAGTGCCTTCTGTTTCTTTTTCTCCCTCATAAGCGTAAGATCTTTTTTAGTCTTCACAGTCCCATTACCTGGCTTTGGAAACCACTTGTGTTAGAAATAGTTAAATTGACCTCTAGCTGCCCACCAGCTGAACAACACAGTTAAATATAAGACTGGGTGCCTTCATACAGACTATAAGGATACACACAAAATAAAAAGCAAACCTTTCTCTCCCCTAGACAGCACAGACAAGTACCAGGTTAGGATGGAGTTTATCACTGTACTTTCTCATAAGCATTACTCTGAAGGAACAGCTCACAACAATTGCAACAGGAAGATTAAAGAAGTTGGAGACATTAGCACTCCCTAAACTTCACCAAAAAACCACTTTAATCTTTTAACCTAAAGTTTGTTTGCAGAATTTCATCCTGAATCATCAATAGTAGTGCACTAAATTAGTAAGTCAGGGTTATCATTTTTTCAACTTGTTCAGCCATGCATCTTCAGATCCATATCCTCGCTCATGGCATTGAGAACCTGTTCATGCAGCACCATCCCCTCCTTGCTTCTTTCATCACCAGGTTTCTACTCTGCCCTGTCCACCCCACGAAAGCAGGAACAGAAACACAGTCTTCTTAAAAAGGAGCAGCCACACCATAATTACATGGGGAGCAAAGGAAAAGAAATCCAAACATTGTAACAGCAAAGAGAAACCGCTCTATGATCCCAAGTAACCATCATGTGATTCTCAAAGACGCTGCAATTTCATTTTTCCTGCTTAGTTACTACAGAATACAGGCACAACAATGTGTTCCATGGTTCTCTCCAGCAGGTTAACAGTAATTGTATGAAGACAGTTTAACCAGTCAGAGGTTTAGCTGAGATTTAACAGTGCTACAGACACCACAAAAGAGTCTTACTGTTGATCCAAGGGATGTGAATCTCCTTTTAGTTACAGGGGTGGGTGCACTCTTCTCACTGCTCAGCTTTGAGTCACCTGCAGAAAAGAAGGGTGAAGGAAGAGGTTGTACAAATGCACACAGGGATGAAAATTTAACCAAACTAGACAAGGTTAATTGACTGTGTACAGAAGACACCACCTGGTTATCAGACTACCCACTTCAAGCCCAACACCAGCTGCTTTTTTACTGCAATCAGGCAGTTCAATAATAGTTATCTGGGCCTTTGACAGAGTTTAGAGAGAGACGACCAGATGACAGCCAGATCTGAGAATTCAGCTCCTGCCGAGCTCTCCCCACCACAATCCAGATCCATGGTGTCCGTTTCCAACTGAAGGATGCTTTATATATGAAAATCCCCATGAAAACGTCACTAAAATCAAGGTTAATTAAGTAAAAAAAATAAAGCTATTTTTAGGAGATGCAGTTAGACATGTTTTTACAGCTGCTGTTCCCTTCAGCTGGAAGGCAGGCAGTGAGTCTCTGCAGCAGAGACCAACTTCTTAACAGCAGAGCAGTAACAGCATGTAAGCACTGACAACTGTAGCATTCAAAGATATCACACCATTGTGTTCTGTGCAATTTTTACAACTACTCACTTTTGTGTCTCCCAGCCCCTTGGCACGCTTCAGAGGACAGCAAACTTCTCACTCCACCTGATGGTTTAACACCACAGGATCCTTGCAGGGGGGTACATGCTAGAAATGAGATTTTCAGACATGCAAAGAACCACGAAGGTAAATGACAGGGTTTTCAATTTAAACCAGTTGAGGCTGGTAACGCATTTAAGTTAAATGCTGTTAAAAAGAAAAAAAAAAAACCCAAACAACTGGAGTCTCAGTTCTCATCCTCCCCATAAATACAAAGAAAATGTATGGTCACATGGTGGGGGAAAGGGTTTGTTTATCACACTGCTAATAAAATTACAAGCTTATTTACACACACAACCTTGCAAGGCGTTTTATTGGTGACAGCAACACATTAACTTCCACAATGAAAAATCCAAAATGGCTAAAGGATCTTAATGCTATTTGGTTAAAAAGCCAGCCTGAAGTGTTAAAAAACTTCGTTTGCTTTTTAAATCATCACTTCCCAATTTAGAAGATACTACTTAAATATTAGTGAATGCCTTTTCCTTCAAATAACTAAGTCACTTAAACTTCTATAAAAAAATAAAGTGTTTGGGTTTGGGGGTTTTTTTTAAGAAATTAAATAATTTTAAGGGAAACAACCGACAGAATCATGATAGCTACAAGCCCTTTATTCGATTATTAGTCTCAAGCCCAGTAAATGCTTATCTACTCGCTTCGACTTTCTGCAAATAAAAGCATCATTTAACACGAAAACAGGCGACGGCAGCAGAAAGGTACCAGGTAAAGCCAAAAACTCATTGAAAAAGCCATACATCACAAAACACCCTCAAGAGCAGCACTTCGGCCGTGACGAGCCCTGCACATGCCCCTTGCCGTGCTGTACCACGGAACCAGAGGACACCAAGGACCGGCACCGCTTGAGTTAAGGTGCACATTACGCACGTTCACTGCTGCATTTGTCTAGCAACAGCCAGGTTTGGACACGAAGTCGGGATCTTTTCCCTCAGGAGACACCTGCGAGGGCTCTAGGGGTCCTGAGGCGCCGCGCTCCGTCAGTGAGGACACACTAAGGCTCGGTCCCCGCTCCCCCGGGCAAGGGTGAAGCGCTCGGTCCCCGTTCCCCCAGGCAAGGCTGAAGGACCCTGTTCCCCGCCCAGGCCCCGTTCTTCCCCCGTACCGGCGCTCTGGCAGCGGCCCCGGCCCAGCGGCACGGACGCCATGACGGCTCTAGACTCCAACCCCGTCGGCCCCGGGCTTTCAAAGGGGCCCAACGGCCGCAGCGCGCGCCCTCCGGCCAATCACCGCGCGCCGCTCCGCGCGGCTCAGCCAATCGGCTCGAGGGTGGCCGGCTGGGCGCGGCCGCGCGGGGCGCGTGCGCGGGGCGGGGCGGGGGCTGTGCGGGGCTGAGGGCGGCGGTCGCTCAGGTGCGGAGCCGTGCCGAGCTGTGCCGAGCCGTGCCGGGCGGTGCCGAGCCGTGCTGAGCGGTGCCCCCCGGAGCCGCCGTGCCCCATGTCGGCGCCGTTCGAGGAGCGCAGCGGGGTAGTGCCCTGCGGGACGCCGTGGGGCCGCTGGTACCAGACGCTGGAGGAGGTGTTCATCGAGGTGCGCGTCCCGCCGGGCACCCGCGCCAAGGACGTGCGGTGCAGCCTGGGCAGCCGCGACATCGCGCTGGCCGTGCGAGGGCAGGAGCTGCTGCAGGTACCGCCGGGGAGCACCGGGGACGGGGCGGTGGCAGGGCCGGGGCGGAGGCCGCGGGGCTCTGGGGTGGTCACAGCATCATCATCGAGTCCAGCCTGTGACCCAACAACACCTTGTGGCACCGGGTGCCACGTCCAGTCCTTCCTTGGGCACCTCCAGGGACGGTGAGTCCGCCTCCTCCCTGGGCAGCCCGTTCCAATGTCTTATCATCCTTTCTATGAAGAAATTCGTCCTAAAGTCCAACCTAAATCTGGTGCAGCTTAAATCTACGTCCTTATGTCCTGCCCCTCTCTGCCTGGGAGGTTTCCACACCTGTGCCCTGTGGCTCCTCTCTGTTCTTCCTTAGAGATCTAGGGTTTGATGCATCAAAAGGATTCATATACCTGGTGGAAATCTCACTGATCTCTTCAATGGCTTGTTGTCAAAAGTAATTACTTCAGTGAAGTCTCTTCCAGCCGAATGAAGATAAAGTGTTACCAGCTGATTTATGAGCTATAATACTACAGACAAACTATAGAGAAAGGTGCACATAAAAAACTGACATTTTTAAACAGAATGTTTCATTTGATTGGTTTTTTTTCTTGTTAGAAACAGCATAATAAACTAGTCAGTTAGAAACAGTTTTGTCCAGCTGCACAAGGTTTTTCCAGACTGTTCCTGTGCTCCAGTAGCTGAAGGGAGCTGACAAGAGAGCTGGAGAGGGACTTTTTACAAGGCCATGTAGTGACAGGTCAAGGGGGAATGGCTTCAAACAGAGAGAGGACAGGGTTAGATTGGATATTAGGAAGAAGTTCTTCCCTGTGAGGGTCAAGAGGCCCTGGCACAGGTTTCCTAGAGAAGCTGTGGATGCCCCATCCTGGGAAGTGTTCAAGGCCAGGTTGGACAGGGCTTGGGGCAACCTGGGTTAGTGGAAGGTGTCCCTGCCCATGGCAGGGGGTGGAACGAGATGATCTTTAAGGTCCCTTCCAACCCAAACCGTTCTAGGATTCTGTGAGAAGTAAAGAGAATAAATTCACATGGATTTACATTCTGGGTAGGGATGTGGGCAGCATTTCAGTTCTGATTGCTCCAGAAAGCCGAAAAAACCAAACCAGAGGCAGATTTACTTTCACATTGGTAACAACAGTTCATACTGTATGGACCCTGCACCAGACCTGTGCATTACCCTTGGGACAAACCCTGACATGTTCATGGCAAGAGTACTAAAAATGGCATTGCCTGCTGAGAAACACAAGCCATTCCAGTGAGTCCAGATACTGAAACAGTGATGAGTATTAAATTATTCATTTTTTAAAAATTGCTTAACAAACAATAATTCTTTGACAGTCTATATGCAAGTCTGTACTTGTAGGGCCAGATCACCCTATTTGTTTTCAGCAGAAAACAAGATGGTAAGTTGTGAGTAAAACTTTCCTGGTTTGTAATATTGTACCTGTCTTTTGCAGGGTAAACTTTTTGACTCTACAGTAACTGATGAAGGAACATGGACATTAGGTAATAACCTACATCTGAAGTGACATAAAGGCAGTAGAACTTCTCAATATGTGCTGCAGAAGAGTTTCCACCCCCCTTTATAATGGAAAAGATTATTCCCTGTACATAGCTTTGTAAAAAGGACCATCATTATTGCTGGACTGAGGAACTGAGGTACTATAAAAGCCCTACAGATTAAGGTTAATGGGAAGATGCCATATCCTGGAAGGCCATAGTCAGTGGATTACAAACACTTGCATATAGGTGAGAAGTTTTTTGCACACCATCATTTAAAGGTAAATAATTATGGTGCGGTTGTGTGGACTGTGCCTCTCCATAATTGTTACTTTTCCTGGGGTTTTTTTCTCATTCTCTTATGCATTATATTTTTGGAACGGGTGACAAAATCTGCAGTCCCAGAGCATCTAAAAGAAACTTAAAAATCCCGCTAAGGTACCTACATATAATTAGCAAAAAAAGCATATCTGATTGTTATATTATAAATACCGTAAAATATTCAGCATGTTTTGGCAGTCAGGTTTGTGGACTGTGCCTCTCACTTAATGTTTCCTGTGAAGAATTTTGTTTTCCGTTCAATATTTCTTCTAAATATAGATTAATAATTTAGTAACTTAAGCGTGAAAACTGGAAGTGTTAACAAACATTGTTAAGCCCATCTTTTTCAGTATGTGAATAATCTTCAAAATACACTTACAATGCTGTATTTATTCACTTAAGGAGAACTAAGCACCCCACATGCTGACTTTGAAATCTGCTTCCAATATATTGTCTGTGGGCATGCACACTGTGTCTAAGCAAATTAACTATCCCTACATATGTCCCTAAAACTTAGTTCTGACTTTTGTTGGTAATAACTCTCTGTGAAGCCTGACCTCAAATCATTATTGCCTTAGCAGAGGTGTCTGTATTAATAGATTAAATCTTTTCTCTGTTGTGAACCTCTTCAAGAGGTTAGTTTATGTTTGCAATAGAAGTTCTTAGGCACTGTGTTTTAATGCCTTAAAACAACTTTGGGCCAGAAAGGGGAGAGATGACAGTGCAGGCTATCTTTGCTTCAGCCTTTTTGTTTCTTGTTAATGTTTATTTATTTATCAATAACCCAGTTGGCATTGGCATTAAGAATTTAAATTACTTCACACACCCTGTGCTTGTTAATGGTGAATTCACCAAAACAAAAAGACTGGCACACAGGACTGAGTCTAAAGGTTGTTCTCTGTGTTCTCATTCAACAGAAGACAGGCAGCTGATACGAATTGTTCTAATGAAGACAAATAGAGATGCTGGAAATTGTTGGAAATCTCTGTTAGAAAATGAATATGCTGCTGATCCTTGGGTACAGGACCAGATGCAGAGGAAGCTCACACTGGAACGATTCCAAAGAGAGGCAAGTTAAAGGACCATAAACTCCTTATATTTTGTGTTTGCACACAGAGGTTATGGCCAGGAAAGCTGAGCAAAATGGTTCTGCTGCCCAGTGCCATGGAAACATATGCTTTAGTTCAATATATCTCAAATGCTTATAAGGCTTTATCACTGTACTTTCAAAAGGTTATTTTGCAGTGCCATGACAAATGGATGACAAGTTGATTATTATATGTTTTTGTTACAGCAGTAGAATATTACCAAGTGTTTTAGGCTTTTGGTTGGTTGGGTTTGGGTTTTTTTAAGCATTTTTATTACAAATAATCTATTTATTGAAATTTTTTTTTCTTTTACCTCCATCAGAACCCTGGATTTGACTTCAGTGGGGCAGAAATTTCTGGAAACTACAGCAAAGGAGGACCAGACTTTTCTAGTCTTGAAAAGTAAACTTCATCTGTGTTCTTTTAGAGGACTTACATGTTACAGTTAAGGACTGGAATCATGGAACTGGTGAAGACTTCAGTGCTCTCTTCAATGGATTGTTGTCAGAAGTAATTACTTAAGTGAAGAGAAGGTCTCTTCCAGCAGAATGAAGATAAAATGTTACCAGCTGATTTATAAGCTGCAATTACCTTATTACCTAAGGGACAAATTATAGAGAAAGGTGTACATAAAAAACTAACATCTTTGAGCAGAACGTTTGGTGTGGGTATTTTTTTCTTATTAGAAACACCATAGTAAGCTAGTGAGTTATAAATCTACCACTTGTCTTTATACATCTTATTCTTGCTTATCTACACCTGAGGAGGAACAGCCCCAGGCACCAGCACAGGCTGGGGCTGATCTGCTGGAGAGCAGCTCTGCAGAGAAGGCCCTGGGGGTTCTGGTGGACAAGCTGCTGTCCCTGAGCCAGCAGTGTGTCCTGGGGGACAAGGGCAATTGGATCCTGGGGTGCATTGGGAAAAGCACTGCCAGCAGGTCAGGGGGTGATCCTGCCCCTCTGCTCATCCCTGGTGAGGCACATCTGCAGTGCTGTGTCCAGGTCTGGGCTCTTCAGGACAAGGGAAAGCTCCTGGAGCAGGCCCAGCAGAGGCTGCAGAGATGATGAAGGGACTGGAGCATCTCCCTTATGAGGAAAGGCTGAGGGAGCTGGGGATGTTCAGCCTCGAGAAGAGACACTGAGAGGGGACCTCATCCATGTCTGTCAGAGGATGGAGCAGGCTCTGCTCGGGGGTGCCCAGCAATGGGACAAGAGGAACGGGCAGGAACTGATGCCCAGGAAGCTCCACCTGAACACGAGGAAGAACTTCTTACCTGTGCAGTGACTGAGCACTGGAACAGATTGCCCAGAGAGGGTGTGGAGTCTCCCTCACTGGAGACATTCCAGAGCCATCTGGGCACAATGCTGGGCCATGTGCTCTGGGATGACCCTGCTGGACCAGATGGCCCCACCTGTGGTCCAGCCTTACCCATTCTGTGATTCACTGTTGAAGAAAAGCCGTTTTAGTTAATATTTTCTTTTAACTTGTAACAGGAAGGATATTAGGATGGCTACAATTACACTTTCCCTTTGTAGCAGCCCTCTGAGAACTTGTAATGTCATTCTAAAAAGTGATTTAAATCAACTACTGTAAAACCTTATTTGAGGCAAGATACAATGCATTGTGCTGTCAAATATAGCACTAATTATTAATGCTTGCTACCAGGTAAGCAATGCTAGAAAACTAAAGGCCAGGTGAAAATCTGAATATAGATAATTTTATGTGTTAATGTAATATAGTCTCCCCATAAAAATAATCAAGATTTTAAAAGTAAGAGAATATAAAGACTTTTCAAAGGAATAGGAAGGAGTCCCTAGGTAGGAAATGCTATCTTGCATTTATTCATTGCCAACATAGAGTGTGCAAATTGTTGACAGTGTATCTAGAAAGCTGTACATTTTTGTATATAGTTTTAAATTTAATAGCCACATTGTAAACTCAGCTATTATTTTATACAACCTTTTGCATTTGCCAATGAGGAATTTTGTACACACCATTAAGGACACAGCCATGAAGCATTTCAACCACTTGGAATGGTATGTACTATTAGATAAATAATGGAAGAGCTGAAGTCAAATTTGAACAGTCTAAGCTACTTAAGTCAGTCTTTTCAGTCTTGACACATTCACATCTCAAAGAATTTAGAGTACTTGTGGGCCAAGTTGAAAAAATTGTAATCAAGAACCTTGAGTTTCTCTTGTGGTTGTCCAGCCTTTCCCATGCAGCCACAACCTCTTAAAAAAAAAAACAAAAACCACAAACAAGAACAAACTGAAAAAACTTCTCCATAATGTCTTACCTCCTGCCTGGAAATTTTCCTCCAGGTACTGTTCGGGTGTAAGTCACTTTATAGGCTTCCTACTAAGATGTTTTATAAACAAGAAAGAGAAAAGCTGCTCAGTTAAGCACATTTCAATGTTTAATTGAAAGGTACATATCTTAATATTGAGACAGGACAATGAGAATTGTATCCTCTCCCAGTAGGCCAAGCACACCTTTGTCCAAATCCCTGGAGTGCTTTGCACAAGCCAGGACAATGCCCAGGGAGCTCTGGCAGGTGCAATACCCAATTACATGGTTCATGTGCAGTCACTCCCATGAGCTCGTGAGACTTGATTAGTCCAGGACAGAGCTTTGGTATGGAGTCTTGTGTGAAAGGTTTAACTGGTTTGAATGGTTTCCCCCTCAGCTGTTCCCATAATGGGGAAGGCTTGGCTGGCTAACACCTAAGCCCACACTCTGATCTCTCCTTCTCCACTACACTGGTCCAAATGACAATCCGTTTTCACAGCCTGTTGCTAACATCCCCCATCCCACAGTGATGCAGAATTCAAGAGGACATGAGCAACGTTCCTCCAGCACCCCTAGTCATCTAACATACAATAATACATTCCTATTATTCACTTCCTTGTTAGCACTAGAAGCACGATATGCCTCAAGTACTGATCTGGTCTGCAGAAAAAAACAGTTATATTTTACAAAGGTTACCATTAGAGATCAGAGTTGAAGCAATCTTCAGTGTTTCTCAACCAGATTGCTCCTACACACAGTCCAAGATGGGGAATTAGCCCTGTTCCTGCTGTGCCTGTGGCAATGTGCCTGTTCAGCATCAGCATTTACCTTTAGTACAGCAAAACTAATGTCAGACCTAGGGCATGTGAGCCAGTACTTTCCCTTGGCCTTCATTAGGTATCACAAAGTTTTACACTCTGGGAACTAATTCCTATTTGTAATCTCAGCAAACTACGGCTCTCACAAAACACTGCAGTTACTGATGCTGTGTTAGTGACTGCCTTTTATAAGGAAATGCATTAAACTTTCCTCCTGCTCTAGCTACTCAACACGTTCAGTGGGTATCACAAAGGCTAATTTTTAATGTGTCTATGGTAGAGGGCCAGTGCCCTGCTCAGCAGGGACACGTGGTGACACTGCCCAAACAGCACGTCAGGTGGGCTGACAGGAATTTGCTATTGTCAGCAGCAGTGAGTGGGATTAGTCTGCTGTTTGATTAACACACTGCAGCACTGCACATCGTATCTTTCTAGTATCATGGAATCCTCGGAAAGTGAACCCGATTTTTTAAATTAAATATATGATTCAGCACCTGCAGTTACAGTAAACCAAGGTTAGATTACAGGAGCTGCTCTACAAACTGTAAGGTGTTAAAATTCCTTGCATTGTGGTGTTTCACTGAATAGTGAACAGTCTGCCAAATAAGACTGAAAAGTGACACCACATTCTGTTGCAATCATCATGAAAAGAACGTATTTGCTGGGAGGATCTTTAGTCTGAAATGTTACATGTTCTTTCCATGAGTTGAGTTCTTCATTATTAAGATCATGGTTCAGACTTTGTTTCTCAAGTATTCATGTGCCTGTTGACAAGGTCACAGGATGTTTTTTCCTTCATTTTATTGTACTCCTGTAAAAACAAACAAACCAGTCAACTGAAGGGCTTTCTGCAAGAGTCAAACAAAACATGAGATCTTAATGCAGCAAGACAACAGCAATACAGCAGGAAAGGTGGAGCCTCTGCAATTGAAGTCTGGGTAAGGAAGTAGTTCACAGTTTCTACAGAGTAAAACTGCAGTAACATGAATGACTGAATTACAGATTTTAGACTTTACTGAACAGTAAAATGGTATTAAAACTGTCTTCCTTGTTAAGTGGTTTAAGTGAACAATTACAAGAAACTCATCCTAACGGGCTGATTTTACTTTTTTTTTTTTTTAGAATAGGAGCGACTCAAGTTTTTTCTCTGCCTTTTTACCAGCTTTACTCCAAATTTTAGTTTGAATGAGGTCCCAATGTCTATAGAACACTTCTGCTCCCAACAGCACACCAGAGGATGAGTTCTCCAGTGTTCATATATTAGGTTGTCACTTCTTTAGGTACAGCAGTGGCTCAAGCATGAACACGAGAACAGACCTGCCTCTAAGACAGGCCTACTGCGTTTATGTTACACATTTTCCATGAGGTAACCGACATGGAATAAGAAACTTTGAGGCAGTTAACAGCTAATTACTTCTACATTATCAGGAGTTGATTTTGCAAGGAGTTACCTTTTATGAGCTGGTCTCTGGAATGGTAGGAAGGTGTGTTATTCTGTAGTAGCTGTGTTTGAGCTGCCGTGCTGTACGTCCAGACACAATCCACTTTAATTTCTGGACATTTGGTTTGGAGCACTTGCTCGAGGAATATTCTGTAAGGCACTTTAAAACCAGTTCCTTCCAGAAGGTCAAATCTCTGTTGTTTATCTAAACAGCAAGACAGAAAAGATTCTGTCATTAATAACTAGTTAAATCCTTATTTCATACATGTACTTCCAGCCTCTTCATCTAAAATTTGGCCAAATATCCCAGGCCAAATGGAAAAAAAACCAATAAAACACCACAACAAAGACAGAAAAAAACCACTATGACAATGCACCTGCCCCTTCCCCACTGTGTAGACCCTTGCATGCATTTTAATTCTGTCCTCCCCTGAAACTTTGCGTGTACATACCTTGGAATGCAACTGCAGAAATTCCAATGCCTCTGTCAACTCCAGCAGCTTTTGTTCTTCTATCTCTAGTGCCATAATAGACAGTGCCAAGACAGAAGGCTGGAGAGAGAGACAACGTTTTTGAACACTGCTTTGTTAAGTTTCAGTAGTTTCACTGTCTTTGAACTTTCAAGATGTTTACCTTGGCTTTAGAAAACATGATTCTGCAGTGACAGGCCTTAAGCTGAGTCTCAAGTCTCTCAAAATTAAGGTACTTTCTCCTAGAATAAAAACAGACGAGTGAATGTAGAAAAATGCAAGCTTGAGCACAGCAGCATCACCCTGGGAACTCACAGAAGCAGCAACAATGTTCATTATCTAAACAAAGACCTCGTTTGTCCCAAAAGTTCTAGGGTTACAGTCAAACAGGTGTTCAGCTTTGGCAGTCCTAGTGCTAAAAATAAATGTTGTGTTACGCTGGGGAGAGTTGCATTGTCAAAACAGGTTTAACAACAGGGAATTTTAGTGCTTACTAGCAAAAGGAATCTTTTTAAGCCAGATTTTGCAATCTTTGCAATAAAGCAATACTTTAATGCAGCATAAGCAGAGATTCATTATACCATCATTGAGCAAGTTTGGTTTTCAGCTCAGAGAGCAGTACTCTTTAGATCAATTTATGCAAACAATGTTTAAAATAATATTAAACCACACATACTCACATTTATGATATTTACCAATAAAGGGAAAAGTTTGTGGGATTTTTAAAGTATAGAAAGGCCAATTACTTGAGCAATTTCCCTGCTTATTTTTCTGCATAGCCTTCCTGATCATATGAAGTTAAGAGCAAAATTAGTATTAGCTATTTTACCTTTCACAGCTTAAATTCTCCTGAACGAGTGAATGATACAGCTGTAGAAATTGGAAGGCTGTTGTAGCTTTCACTTTCCAACTCAGCTTCTCCAAAATGATTTTCTCCATTCTCATCATATCAGAAACAGTGAACCTGTACTGGCTTATCCGAATTAAGTCAGTGGCCAAGGGCACATTTCTTTCTTCTTCTGATGCCTTCACAGCCAAGTAGAAGCAGCTGAGTCCAACACAGCCCAAGTGTTTAGGCTGCACCTAAAGAAAAATTAATTGTTGTTACCTTCAGAGAGGAAGGCCTTTGATCAGCCATTACAACATGTAAGTACCAAACTGCAGGCACCAATGTCTTGTAGGAAAAAATTATGGGAGGCAGGGGGGCTGTTCTGCTTTTTTGGAGATTGAGAACTAAGTCTTTTACCTTATATTCTTTTTATTTAACCAAAGAAGAAGACAGTTACACACTACAAGTTCCACCTCATTCATCTAAAAAGCAAGATTGCAGAACAATATATTTTGATTGAGGTAGAACTAGTTTCTTAATGAGGTTCTATAATAGCATAATCAAAAGCTTTTAGGACTTTAAGTGTTGTACATATCGATACAAAAAATTGGAGTTTTCTAACTCTTTTAAAAAATATATATACACACACATATATATATGTACATATATATATAGATTTATTCACAGACATTGCAGTCCACATTTTTACTGCTTATTTTGGATTCAGAAGTCTTTCAAATCATCATTTTCCCATCCAGCTTTCTCATTTCTGTTTTAACACACAAGGAAAACAAGCTTTTGTTCTTGTCCAGACTGTACAGTGGTAATCCTGTCTTGTCAGACAATTAAAAACAACCCAGGTCAGCATGTCACTTCTGCACAGGAGAATGGAGTGCTAACTGATGTTTCACCAGACTCTGAGTGCTGAACAGCATCTTGATATACACAGGCAGGTTGAAAAGGCAGTTAAATAAGAAGTAATTTAAGATGTTCTTGTATCCATGTGACAGGAAAGACAGTCTGTCTTGGTCTGACCCATTAGATGCTCTGCATTTCCCAGCCTATGGGCATCCTAAAGTTGACACTGATGCCCCATTCCTTGTCTTCTCCAGAGGAAACAGCTTTCTTAAGAATACTAAAATCTGAACAGGGAACACCTGGTGCAATCAGAATCTACGGAAGGAGCTAAACCTTTAGCCATCTAAACCCAGTATGTTCCAACGCAATGAGCAGGAGCTAACGACTGAGAGCTTATACTTTAAAAAGCCTTACCTTCATTTTGGACAAGAATCTATCCAAGAAATTCACAGCCAGGGAAAACGTCTCCGTGCGGAAGCCAAAGAACTGAGTTAAGCTGAGCAGGTCTTTCACTTCGAAGTCCCGCAGCCGGGCAGTCATTCGGAGGCCATTGTCGTGAGCAGCCTCGACCAGCCTGAGCCCGGCGGGCTTGGGCTGAGCCCGCAGCTCCTGCTCCAGCAGCGCCGAGAGCTGGAGCAGCAGCTCCTCGGCCTCGGTGCTCGCCAGGGTGTCGATCATCTGCAACAACGAAACACCCGCGAGCGTGTCAAGCAGCCGAACGGGGGGAAACTCACCGAGTTACAGCCGCCTCTAAAGCAAAGGCACACGGCCGGGCACACGCGGGGTCAGCCCCGGCCCCAGCGATTCCCGGGTTATCCCCAGCCGCGGGTGATTCCCGGGATGTGCGGGGGATGTGCGGGGCACGGCGGGGCCGCGCAGGCGCCGCCTCCCGGGACATGCCCGGGCCTGTCCCCTGCTCCTGAACCGCGCGGGTTCCGCCGGCAGACGAGCCCCCTGCGCGCTCCGCCGGCGGGACGGGGGGACAACGGGACAAGCCCCGACCCAGCCACGGCACCGCGCGGGACGGGCGCGGGGGAGCCAAACGCGCAGCCGGGGGGACCCGACCCCTCGCCCTTACCGTGTCCGTGCCGACCCGCTCCCTGCCCTGGCGGGGCGGCCGCGGGCCGGAGCGGTGCCGGGTCGGTGCCCGGTCGGTACCGGGTCTGTTCCGGGCTCCGTCCGGTCCCGCGGGCACCGGGCGAGCGCTGCGGCCCCGCCCCGCCCGCCCCAGCGGCGCCCTCCGGTGGCCGCGCCGCGCCAGCACCGCCCGCCCGGCCCGGCACCGCCTCCCGCCCGTCCCGCAGCCGGGATGCGGGATTTAGTCATGTTTTTAAGCTCTAAGCCTGATTTTGAGCCTCCAAAACACAGCACTTGGTGTCTCCTTGTGAGTCCAAAAGTTGGCCACGTGAGCCTAGTTCTGAGCCCCCCAAAACGTGGCACCGGGGTCTCTGCTTATGAGCCCGGAATCGCAGGACTCGGGCTCGGTTCCGAGCCGCCCAAACACAGCACTGGATCTCTCTGTGGGAGCCCAAAAACCGACCGAGTGAGTCTGGTTCTGAGCCCCCCAAATTTCCCCGGAGTCATGGCTGAACCCCAGCCAGCAGTTGGGCACCAGCAGCCCCCACAGTGAGGTGGGGAAGAGATCAAAGTTAAAAATACAGCTCGTCGGGAGAGATCAGAATAGTTTAATGATGGAAACCAAGAAAAATATAATCATTTAATATTCATGATAATACATAACACTAACAATAGTAACAATAGCAGTGATAAGAACAATAATGACAAGGAGATAGAGAAGCCCCAAAACAGCCAAGTGCTGCCTGACCCCACTCTCTCCTTTAACATTATAAATCCAAGATTTGATCCAGAGCACCACAAACTCTCAGTGCATGAAATTTTCATATTCCTGCTGTTTTCTCTGTGTTCCACCCTGGGGACTCCGGGACTAAGGGAGGCATTGGCCATCTCTGCTGCCCGTGGCACATCACAGGTCCTAGGAAAATCCAAGGGAAGGGACAGAAGAGCTGGAAAGATGGAAAGTCACGGCCCAGGCTGAGCAGGGCCTGTGCCAACAGCATTTCCAACCTTTCCATCCACCACCTTTGGAGCACAGGGAACACCAAGCTTTGGCCTGCAGGGAGATGGGAACTGCAGCCAGAACTCTCCCGTCCCCAAGGATGATAGACCCCTCTGAGGTATTTAATATCAAATACCATGGAAATTCTGAGGAATGAAAAAGTAAACAATACACTATCTATCACCTTAATTCACAAACATTACTCAGAGTTTGTACTTGGTACCTCAAGTTCTGCATGACCCAGACTGGAGACTTGGGCTCACGTGGGAACTGACAGGAAGCACAGAATAAAGTTCAGTCCTGTGCAGGGGCTCCCTGTGGAGCAGCATTTTAGTTTTTTAGTCAGTGGCTTTTCCTGGTCCCCTGAGGCAGAGGATGATCCATACATTTGTCTCTCCCTTGTTTCTCAGACACTCACAGACCAAGGTCCTGCTTTTTTTGCCCTCCCTCGGGGGCTGCATTTGCCCAGACCCAGAGGGTTGTCCATGGAGGTGAAGCAGTGTTGGCTGCTCCAGCGAATTTTCCTCCAATGCAAGCTGATGGGTCTGGAGGCTCTTGAGTTTGGCTGCTCAAACACCAAAGTATTTGACTGGGCTGGGCTGAATTAAATGATTTTTTCCCGTCCTGAAAGAGAGGAGAAAAGGAAAATTAAGCGCACTGTGGAAGTCAAAGGCTCCTCGCTTTCACACCTCTGTTCTGATTACTCACTACAGGGGGTTTCTTGCATAAAAAAAATGAGAGATGTCAGCAAATAAAATGAAAAAGTGCCTTTTTTAATTCCTATTTATTAGCATTTTTATTCCTATTTATTTCATACATAAAAAGGATGCCCATTTTTATTTATTGTATTCTTTGCCTTATTTTAACAGAACCATTTTCACTCCAGACCCCACTTGTGAGTTATTCCATCCTTTGCCAAGAATCTACAAGTATGGAGTTTGCCCTCACAGAGCATTCTGGCTGTTGCCAACTGACAGCAGGAATGAACCATGAAAAGCAGCATCAGAAAACAGAAGTTACAAATTTCTAGATGTAAGTCATGTTATTTATGTTATGCTCCAAAGATATGTATTCCAGTGTTTGTCTCCAGGCACCCAGAGCTAGAAAATAAAACAGCTTTCTACTCCTTGTGAGTTCAGGGAGGAACTGAGAAGGAGGAAGAAAAAACACAAGCGAATGGGGAAAGGACAACACCACTGCTCTCCTACCAATAGAAAAACCCAAACAAACTGGAAACAACAAAAAACCCGAACAAACAAACAAACAAAAAAAACCAAAAGCCAAAACCCCCCAAACCCACCAAGAAGCTTAGTCTCAGATTCCTAAAGAAAATCAAAGGAACCGAAACTGCATAACTTGATGTGATTGTTTTCATACTCAAGACTAGAGCTACAGTTACAAGGTCACTTGAGCATTAACGTAAGTATTTCCTGGTAAGGACATCCAAGTCAGTTTTGTTTCCAGACATAAGGTGGCAGCACAGGATATCTAAAGCCTGCTGGCGCCATCTCTGATGGAGCCAAACAGCTCGGATCCGGGTATGACACAAGCTGCTCTCCCTGAAGTTGAGAAATGATCAGAAATCTCTAAAGCCTGCACAAAAGAACTCTGAGCATAACTCTTTCTTTCACCTACTACCATTTGGCTGTGTGTGCCTGAGAGTACAGAAGTTAGAAATTGTGGCCAAGACCTTTAATCACAAGTATCTTCAGAACAAAATGCTACTGCTGCACATTTCCTTCAACTTTGTCATGTTTCCAACTCTAGTTCCCTGATTAATTAGGAAGAAACGTTCTAGACAGTATTCTAAGAACCACTGTTGACATTTTGTTCTAGGAAATTTGTAATAAGATTTCCTCATCGAGTCTGGTCCTTCATTTCCTTCTGTTCCAGTGTTCTTTCAGGTATTCCAATGACAAACAGAGTCAAAACCATTAAAAATGGTAAAACTGAATGCATTCACTCCATAGCTTAATGACACTTCTTTGGCTAAGAAGTCAAAGCTCAGACTTTACTAAGGTGTGTTTACAGTACTTTGAGGGTTTCCCAAGGCAAATGTGACTAGAATTCCTGTAAATGCAGGCAAACCTGGAAGCACAGTTCCAGTTCATGCACTCAGCTTACAGAATGCCACGTGTTGGAATGCACCAGAAAGTTCAGTGACTTGCTCCATAGCTGGGCACATTCAGGTCGATAACCTGAGAGCCACACACACCTGTGCAGTCAAATGAGTGCAGCCAATTTGGATAAACACATTTTACATGTTCATTACGTAACATGATTTGAAGAGCTTCTAAAGCTATCCCCAACTAACCTTGTCAGATTGGAGAACAGCCACTGACAGATAACAAGTAATGCTCAGTCTGCTTAAAAGTTTTAACTGCGTCTTAGCAAAAGGCTGAAGGCATTCACTGCCTTTTACCCATCAAATCAAACTTCTGTCTCAAATCAAACTTCCAACTCTGATGTTCACAAGTCTATTTGTGATCAACAGTTTTATTGCTAGAGGAGAAGGCCACTGTCACAGCACTTGGGATAGCAGAAGTCAGGTCGTATTCCTCAGGTCAACCTAACAGAGGACACTGGAGACCAGAGCTTTCAAGTATCAACATTTATTGGTGGCATCATTGTGTAACATCATTGGCATTTGGAGATACAAAAAAGTAGTAGGAAAAGCTCACAAAAGAAAAAGATGAGCCTATATGCTTATTCAAAAAAAAGTTCAAGAAGAATACTTTAATGATGCTTTTGAAATATAAACTTCATAACCATCCATCATTTTCATTATGACTGTGCCAAACAATGATCACAAACTGAACCCTGCAAAGTGCCAGAGAATATGTATAAGCATCAGCCTCAGCTATTTAGAGTTTCATTCATCAAGTCAAGACCATAAATCATTAAAGTCTATCAGTCAAGGCTGATTTTTAAAAACAAAGTCACTTTGATTGTAGCAAAAAAACTTAACTATTATAAAAGTTCTTGTTCTTTAGCTACAGCTCATATTTCATCCTAGAGTCTCAGTGCACTTTAAAGCATGTAATCTCTTTTCTAGGTCTAACTAGTATTTGTTAGGGCTACATTAAGATGATGTACACGGGTAAAAACATGGGAGTGTTTAGCTCAAAAATCCCACAGCCAAGCCCTCTTCATAAATACATTAACTACACACATAACTCTGGGGGATTCCTGAGTCTACTGGGCCAAAAACAGAAAAAAAATTAAAATAAACAGCCACTTACACAAAAAAAAATCAAGAAATACCCTAGACCTAGTGAAGAGTTTGATTTGGAGAAGTTCAGCCCTAGTTAACAGTTTGGTTTAGAAGGGGTCAAAGACACTCTTCATGAGCCAGCCTTCACCCACTGCATCCAGCTTTAGTCAAACCTGACAGTGGTGAACCTGTGCTTGGGGGCAGCCCTTCAAGGCCATCTGCTGCAGCTCAGACCACCTTCACTCCCCCCGAAACTAGTTCAGAGTCTACAAAGTTATTTCTTCTAGGGTCACCCGAGGTCTTGCTCAGATGCACAAAATCACCCCTGTGGTCTGGACCTGCACCAGTGGGAGCCCTGGAGGAAAGGAGGACCCGCGGTCACCTATCTCTTCACTACAGTCTCTGCCTGCAGAGAAGTCTCTCCACTCCTCGTTAACTCTCGTCTCTTCAGTCAAGGCCAGTGACCTACTTGGTCAGAGCAATTTTCAGTCTCAACAGAAATATCTGTAACAGCTGCATTTCACCAGTTTTTATAGAGAGCCTCCAGTGGCATTTCCAGAGAACAACAGGACACAACGCAACGGGACACCCACAGGAGACACTGGGCACTTAAGCATGCCTTAAGCGATTTTTAGCTCCTTATTTCTAAAGGGAAAGGAAACCTAATAATCACTTTTATCCGGTGCATATAAAGCACAGAGCAGCCGCCCGGGCTCGGACTGTCCAGGCGAAGAGTCGCTCGTGGAAGGGCCCCGCAGAGGAGAAGCCGGGGTGGGGAAGATCCTGGTGGACACGGTCCCCGGGCTCTGCAGGGGGGTCAGGCGGGCATCCTACCTCTTTCGGAGGCGTGGGGGGGGAGCGACTCGGCCCCTGCTGCCGACACGGACCGGCAGGAG